CTCCCCCCCCCCCCAAAGAGTTCACGGAGCTGGTCGTAGCTCCTCCCCAATTACGACCTGGTGGAACCGCCCCCATTTATTTGTTTCATGTTGTTTTTGTTGAGTAGGTTTCTAGTCGCCCCTGCAACGCACCCTGAGAGAGCACCATCCCCGCGTTCCACTGTTGCCATTTTTGACCCATTTTTAGGGTTTTTTCAATTTTACTAAGGTAAAACCTAAATTTGAACTAAAACCTTTGTACATTTTTGGAAATAACGTAAAAAAATAAATAAAAGTGTATAAGTAACTTTTCCCTAGTACGTTGCCAAATGTTCGACAATATCGTTCCAATGAACCAAAAATAGGATTAATTATCACGCCAAAGATTTTAGGAAGTGGATGACTCTCATGTGAAAAGTGAGAATTTTAAGATTCGTTTCACTACAAATAACATACGTACCATGAAAAATTATGACACACCTCATTTTCGTGATAATTAATCCAATTTTCGAAACTTTAGGATGATTTTTCTATAAAATTTGGGAACATAAGAAAAATTCACAAATAACAATGTTGATGTAATTATCTATGTTTTTTCCAAAAATGTGCATACCCAGTTTTTAGGTTTAATTAAGTTTAACGCGTGTAAACTTGAATACAACCCGTTAAAACTGGCCAAAAATGACAACAATGGTCCCTAACCCAATCGGAAATTTGACCTTGGGCAGATCAGAATAATATTGTGGCAACCTTAGCGAGATTGTGAGCATATTTCAATTGTAAGGTTGGCCTGAGAATCTTGGTACAATATACTATCAATACTGGATATATAACGTTAGTATTTTAATATTGCACCAATATTAGCAACATTAGAAATCCAAGGTCAGGTGATACTCGGTGATTCCAAGATTGTCACAATGTTGTCACAATATTGGTTGTACAATATTGGTAAACTAATACTGTCGTAGAGTTATGTTTTCAATATTGCAGTAATATGTTAGTTTTAACATTGGCACATTATTAAAAAAAAATACTGAACATAGACTTCTACTTATAATATTGACACAATTTTAGGAAAACAAAATTGCTAAAATAATATCGAGACGATGTTATCTCTGTGATACTGCGGTATTGTTATTATGCTAACATTCAATTAACGTTAGAACAACAAACATAACAGGCTTCTGTTCGTAATATTGTCATAATATTGACACAATATTGGATATCTAAAACTGCTGAATTGATATTATGCTAACATTATTTTTACAACATTGTGGTAATATTCGCACTTTAACATTGTCACAAGATTAAGAAAATAAACATTTTAGGCTTCTGTTTCTAATATTGTCATAAGATTAACACAATATTGTGCGCGGCGAGCACAATTCGACCGCGTTTGCTATTTCCGCCACCAGGGCGCGCTCGCCGCGGATCTTCCGTTGCGGTCCCTTTAAGGGCAAAATAAAGGGAAAAAACTGCGACCTTTCGCTTTTTGACGTAATAGGCACATGATCCATAGGCGTCTAACCCATCTTACCGATATTCTTAGGTCAAGGGCTAAAATGGAGCTTTTTGGCAACGGTCCGCGCGCGGCCGCCCCGTCAATGGGGCTGGTTTTTGTTTCGCCTGGGCAGTGCCCGTTACAAGTGGGATCCAAGTTGAATACTTCAGCCAGTGCAAGCAGCCAAGAAAGTAGCTGGCTTAGGAAGGTTCCTCGGCACTCCAATGTTCCGTACGCCTACATTAGGCATTGCGACGATAAGAAATTCCTTCCGCGAGGACGGCAGGTAATACGGCGGTATATCGCCTACCTTGCCTCAGAGGTAAGATTGGAAATCCAAGCTTGTCTCAGAGGTAAAATAAATGTCTAGCCAATACTATGGCAATATTTTAACATCAAGTCTATGGCAACATCATGATCACAATATCCGCTGAACAAGCTTGGAGCAATATTATTAACATAACGTTGTCACAATATAGAATATCCAAGTTTGTCTCGGAAGTAAAATAATGTCCGACCAATATTGTGGCAAAATTGTCAGGATAGGCTTGGAGCAGTCTTACAAACCTAACCTTGGTACAATCTTTGGGCTCAAGCTTGTCCCAGAGGTAAAATAAATGTCCTGCTAACATTGTGGGAACATTAGCAAGATAAGCTTGGCAACTCTATTCAAATGTGAAAAAATGTCATACTAAGCTTGTACCAAGGTCAAATTTCCGATTGAGAAGGCTACCTATAATCAATTGGAAGCCATTTTTACGGCCAAAAATGAAATGTACGGAATAAAATACATACGACGCACCCCAAAAAAGTTGAACTGAAGGTCGAATGACATTCAAAAGAGCTACTTTAAGTATAAAAAGGTTGCAAAACGAGATACCTCGATCAATTTTCACAAAATGGGAATCCAAGTACAACTATACTTTTTTCATCTGTTCCATGGATGGGTAAGAGCTGTTACGTGCGTCAATACGAAAGTTAAGCCCCACTTTCTTGAACCATTAAGAAATTCATTTCAGTCCTTGAAATTTTTGACCTAAGCGCATACTATGATGAGGAATGAAATATTGAAAATTGGTCAAAATCCATGAGAGAGAAGGGGGATTTCACCGATTTTGCATACACCCCTTTTTGCGATTAAAAAAATAAGGAATATAGGGCAAATATGTTTTTTCAAAATTCCAAAGTGTCATTTCCAGGGTATAAAAGTGTTTGATTTTAATGGACCCTTACGCTTTTCAATGGCATGAAAGTTAACCAAATCGCCCGCAAGTCTCTTTACTCTGGGATATCACTAAGACTTTTCTGTCAATACCTAAATTTCCATGTTTTCGATCCAAGCCGACAATAATCGTTCAACTGAACATTCCATTAATGTGGTCAAAGGTCCCTCTTCTAGGGGACGCTAAAAATTAGGATTTGTGAAAGATCGAGAGGCAAAATACACGTAAACCTAGTTGCCTTTCGTTAAAAGTGAGATGAGTAAAAACATTGTTGTAGGAGATACTCAAAGTCTTTGGTGCTTAAGTATACGAAATATTGGGCTCGCTTAATAGATTTCGCTGACCTGAAGAGATAATTATGCTTCACGAAGAGGAAAGCATTTTTACCGTCTGGAATAATCATCTCGGGCATCATTCGAATGGAGAAAAATAGCCGCTGATATGCTAATAACAGTCTCGCTCGGTTTTTCCATCAGACACACCACACGGAAAGTGACGTCGCCTTAAAATGTACCCCTATGCGACAAACACATCCACGAAATGATAATAGTTGCATCCAGTCAATACTATAGGGTCCCTCGTGAATAGCCGTTGGTTAGTCTGTAAGGCACTGAGCCTCTTTGTCCATTGTATCCACCAGCTTGCTCCAATTTAATCGCCTCGCTTCATATCGTTGTCTCCTCAGTCTATAGCTTGGTCTGCTTGTTTATCGTTCTTATCGTTTGTCGAAACAAAATTTTGTAAAGGAATTAAAACTCGAGCCTCTATCATCAATTCAGTCCAATCGAAGAGTTTGATCTGAAAAACCAAATGTTCCGTTTGGTATAGTTCGACCGATATGGGACAACGACCGTGCGCTTGATACAATTGAACAGTGGCATTGTCCGTGGAGGAGGGGGTCCAGATCTATATATCCCCGAACACGGATTTTTTTTCTTTTTTTTAAAATAAAAAAAAAAATTACACCCCTCTACCCCCCCCCCTCAACTCACGTGGAAATTCTAGTAACGCCAGTATGATCAAGCTTTTTCAGTGTACCGTGCGGGCTGATAATTTAAATTGATTGATTGGAAGCGGGTGGTCGCAAAGGGCAAAGATAGTAATGAACTTACAAACGGTAACTCATAAGAGCCCCGACACTTATTCCATTATGTTCCCCCATAATATAGATTAAAAAAAACTACTGTTTCAATCAGTAAATAGGATGGCCTCATTTTCCGTTTGTCTACAGCTTTGCCTATTAGTGTCAATAATCACCCTACTGATGGAAAGTGAGAGGCCAGGTCTCGGAAGTATCGTGTCTTTGGTAAGCTTTGATGAGAACTTGGGCATCTGCCGATTACCTTGCAGAAGCTGCGAGAAAGGGTGAATAGAGTGAGAGGCAGAGAAGATAAGAGGCCGGAAAGTGAAATAGAAGAAAGGAAACAAAGAGAGAGAAAGAGAGAGAGAGAGAGAGAGATGGAAGGACACTGCCTTACATTGGTGCCAGGGAATGCCCTTCCGTTGACCGTGGAGTGCTGGGTGTTGACTATCTGTCTTACCATGCCGCTTCCAAACTGGTTCCAGAGCCCGGAGGCTCCACCGGTCTGCGAGCCGGAGCCGGACAGACAGGTTGACGGTCGCCTGGATCGGATAATGCTGTGCATGCTCGAGCTCAGCAGGTGCGGCACGCTGCTGCTCGTGTTTGGCATACTCCCTCCCTGAAACGGAATCCCCAACTGCAGACCACTTTAAAATTCCGCTCTGGCAACCAGGTACATTACAGCCACAATGCAAAGTACAAAGCTAGAGGCAATATATTTTAAACACCCCGCAGCACTTCTATCTCCCCAGAAGAGGAAAAATTAGTCAAGGAACATTTCTCATATTTGTTTGATTATGATTCTTGATCTAACAGTTGAGCAATTGCCATAGCAATCGTAACCTCATTTGAAGAAACTCACCCACACTGAAAAAAAAGTGAAGTTGATGTAACATTCTGGATGTAAAAAAAAGTGCAAGAACTTATGAAATGCTGAATTACCCGCTATAGGAGTTACTTTAGCAAATGCCAAGATGTAAAACTAACTGCTGAGACGGGTAATTCAGCATTTCATAAGTCCTCGCACACTTTTTTTTACATCCAGAATATTTTATCAACTTCTCTTTTTTTCGGTGGAGACAGCTCCATTGGTCTCTCGGTAATGGTGGAAGCTTTTACTTTCGGGACTTTAACATTCAACTGTTGACCTCTGTACTAAGGGATGTCATACATCGTGCTGAGCTATTCGTTTTGCAAACAAGCCCAGGTATGATAAACTTATTTGGCTCCATAACCAAAATGACTATGGCTGTGGCTGCCTTATAGGTGTCCAGAAGGAAGTGTTGAATCGTCGAAAGTAAAAGTTTCCCTCTTATTACCAAAAAATTAGCAGAGGGTCTCTCTTTGTCTCTGCACCCAGCAGAATGATCTCCCAACCATCAGCAGTCATCATTAGGGGTATTTAAATGGCTCCATTGCTCAACATGTTACTCACTAACCATACGCGGGTGAAAAATAGCGTTGACCTTCGAATGTTAATTTTGCTTTCCTCGCTATATTGCTTACATTCTTGGTGCGGGGTCTTTAACATATAAGGTCTTCATACATAGCTAATCAAGAGTCACTCGGCTCAAAATTCAAAAAAAGCAAAAATCAAGCAATTCAGCAAAAATTTCATAGCATTTGAAAAAAAAAAAAAACATTTTAGCGAAATAAGGTGTCTTATGGCTCCTTTGATTTCAATTGTAAAGAAATGGATCTCTTGCATACAAGAGATACGTGCAAATAAACGAATATACTTTTAAAAGATGAAGTCCCCCTACACTCATGATGATTATGCCGCAAAAGATCCGTCAAAGATCCGTCAAAGATCTTTGTCATATTTGCTTTTATCGCCCCCCGACCCCCTCTGGAATTTGCTTAAACGTTGTCTATTGATTACTCATACTTGAACGCTTCTTTTCCCAAATTTTCAGACCCCCAAAATATTTTTTTTTTTTTGGGGGGGGGGGCATCCAACAAGTGGTCCATTTAATAAGGAACCAAACGGTTCCGCAGTTATGAGCGATTGAAGTATCCGCCTAACGCGCCCCCACCGATTTTGGCACGCCGAATACCCGGATTCGGGTGTTATTAAATTAGATTGAATGCTCATACCGTGCAAAATTAGTTTCTAGGGATTCTTGAGGGTCACTGAGTCCACAAACTACAGATACTTCCAAAAAATTCACTTCTTTAAAATTACAGCTCCGCACGAACCCATCGAGTGACCGGTCGGCGCTTGGTGGGCCTTTAAAGTAGCGCTGCGGAACTGTAATTTTAAAAAAGTGAATTTTTTGGAAGTATGTATAATTTTCAAACTCAGCGACCCTCAAGAGTCCCTAAATACTAATTTTGCACGGTATGAACATTCAATATAATTTAATAACACCTGAATCCGGCTTTTTGGCGCGCCAAAATCGTTGGGGGCGCGTTGAGCGGAAACTTCAATTGCTCACAACTGCGGAACCGCATGGTTCCTTATCTAAATGGACCACTATTTGGATGCGGGAAAATACAAATAATTTATAAAACTGGTTTTGATCCAAATAAAAAAGTGAAATCTGCACGCATCCTTTGTTTAAAAGAAATTTTCTAGATTCAAAAACTGAAAAAAACTCATAGGTCAACTTGAAAATGTGATTTCGGGATTTTGATCCTCAGAATCTCAAAGTATGCAATTTCAGACGATTTTTCGTCCTAACCGGACTTCGATATATTTCTTCGTTCGAGAGATATCGAAGTTCTCCGGTTTTGACTTCCACCCTTATTTTTAAATTTTTAAATTTTTGTTTCCTTCAGTGTGCTTCTTCCTGGAGCGAAAATGATTTCATGCATTTCTGTGGTCTGGTTCGTTCTTCATTTGTGTATTATCCGAAAATCCTACACTATTGCATTCTCCCATGGTGTCAGACCCAGACCTGAGGATAATCGGAACCTAATCTAACTCCAGGTTTTTCATCATGCGATGACTTTGTGAATGAATTCGTAAACATTTCCCGTTGTAAAAGGAAATGTCTTGACTGAGATTTTTCTGATGATAACTGCAAATTAATATGACCGTTTTCATTAAAACCAATGATCAAGTTCAGGGAAACTTCCTGCTAGGGTGAGACTTCGTATGTACGAGTTTGTTTTTTTTTTATATTATACACTCAAAAAAAAAACTCCGGCGACTGGACCCGGTTGTTCTCGATGTTGGTGACTCCGATGTTACCGGGTCGTGAAAACGTAATTTCTGGGCACAGCAGCCGGAGTCCGCCAGGGGTGCTACGGGCTCCGAGGTCGGTCGATCGGTTACTGCCCAGCCGGAAGCTCCGGCTTCCACGGTCGGAATTTTCGACCCGCCCGGCCGGAGTCCGATAGTCCGTTACTCAGTGTTCGGGAAAATGGCGTCGCCATCGGATTAAAATTGAGACGGCCCGGTGCAAATTCGCAGAAAATTATAATGTTTTACTTCAATTTTATTCAGTGCGTGAATTTAAAGTTGCCGCCAGCCTTCGACATATTCGGGAGCGATCGAAGCCACCACTCAGCGTTGTTTATTGAGGTTAGTCTCTAAATAGCTTTGTCATTGCTGGTCACTGCTCATTACGTGTGTTCGTTTTTCGTTTAATTTTGGAGGTTTTCAATCTATTTTCTTGATTCTGTGTGGTGCACGATTGATTCTAAAGTTCTGTGTGATAACGCTTGTCAAATACTTCCAGAAATGCGACGGGAATTAAGTTAAAATTGTCAGTTTTGGTACCAGTACACTGAGCTCATACCCTCTCCTGTAAGTTCGTTTGCAATTAACTTATTTTACCCCTACTAAGGGAAAGAACTTAAATCAAAGAAAAGGAATCGATTACCTGCCACGCATCTTCCCACAGAGTAAATTATCGCCACACTAAAATACTGATAATGTAGGCACGAGAATGTCCATTTATTCCGAACTATATTCTGTCACTTAATTGCTTTGTTCTGCCTGTGTAAGAGGATACAGTTTTTATTCCATTTCGATCTAATCTCTAACTCATAAATGTTTTCAACTGTGAGTAGTATTGCAGTCTCTGACATCTCCCCTCTCTGTTACAAAAACAGCTGTTTGATAGCGGAAACTGTACCCGTAAAATGTAGAACCTATCCTGCGCAAATTATCTAATAGTGAGAGCAAGCTCAAACGTTGTTACCGTGAATAATCTCTCTGATTCCATATCCCAATTCTAGGGAGCTCAGTGTTACTGTAATAGTGGTAAAATCCTGTGTGAATCGCGCTTCAGTTTGCTGAAGGGAAGATCTATAATTTTAACAAGTGTGACAATTTTCGGTGGTATATTTCTTCGCTAATATTTTGTGGAAATTGTATCCGGTAGTTATTGCGGAGAGTTATATCTCGAAGTTTTGTCAACTTTTACTACTGAATTTACACCTTGAAATAGTCTCAACCTCATTTTCAAGATTCTGAAGCTCTTCTAGTCGTAAAAAGTAAAAATCTGTAAGTAAGTACCTAGACCTACGCCAGTGGTTTTCCTTTGTTAATCATTTAGGTGATTTCCTACTTTGCATTCGTATTTTTTATCGAGGGATTTCTTGTTTTTGACAAATTCTGAATTCTCATTGAGTGAAAGTAATTACATTTATTGAGAACGGGCTGCCAAGTGATAAAAATGATTTTTCAGTTTGCATTTTCGCTGCAATGAGTTTTAGAAATTTATCACCTTCGGCAGTCTATTCTACAACTAAAATAGGTAGCAAGAATTTTTGATCCATCTAAATTTGTTCCTTCATGTCTCAGTGGTTGGACTATTTCCATAACGTTGTACCCAGTTAATTGAATATTGATGGCTGAGAGGAATAATTTTCCAATTTTTTGTTTGTTTTATCCATGAAACATTGACAAGTATTTCACAGACTTAGTAAGCAATAGGCAACTGTTTCAAATCTATGAACTTTACTCATCTTTGCCCTAAAAATAAATTCCAAGGTATATTTTGCAAAGTTAAGAATCAGCCGAATACTTCCAAGCCAAGTTCATTCTGGTATCTAAAAATCAGAGTGCTTTATTTTTTTCTAGGAAGGCTTGCAACATTAAAGTTAGGTTTTTGAAAATCTCTCTCGATTTTTTTTACAAGATGAATAAGCTAACATTCATGTGCTGCTTTGCTTACTCAATAAGAGAATTACTTATCTCTTTTCTCAAACTTGCTGAACTATCAGCCAAGAAGTTCAAATCTCTCTTGATATCTCAAACATGATCAACAAGCTAACGTTCATATGCTCCTTTTCTTTCTTTCTTTTTTTTAAAATAGGTATATACTTCTTTGTTAATAGTTCATAACAATTTAATTTCAGGAATGTGATGGATACATCACTGACTGAGAAAGATTCAGATCAGATTCAGATTTCATTTATTTTCTTTATTAATAAATGAAATCTGAATCTGATCTGAATCTTTCTCAGTCAGTGATGCATCCATTACATTCCTGAAATTAAATTGTCATGAAATATTAACAAAGAAGTATGTACCTAGATAAAAAAATTAGCGTCTGCCCGGAGCATTCCGTGTTTTGATAGCCCGGAATTCGCGGCTATGGAAGCCATCGGTGAATGACCTTCACAGCCGCAAATTCCGGGCTGCGCGTCCGGAGTGGTCCGGGCGTTCGGCGCCCGGAGTGCTCCGGCCCCCGGACGCGGAACGGACGGTAGCTGTATATAGCCCGTACAGTCCGTGCTCCGGGTCCATTACTTTCGGCTCGCACGGCCGGAGGTTTTTTTGAGTGTAGAGCCTTCTGAAGAATCTTCATCGGAAAATGTAATTTCTTTGTCAACCCACTATTTATTTACCTGTTTTTCAATTTATTTTTTCATTAATTTTATTTATACATTTTTTATCTAAATCAATTAGAAAAAGTGATGAAATATTAACTTTAAGTGCAACTCCCGTAAGAAATACACTATTTTCTTATTCTCCTCTTTTTGAACCAGGGAAACGTGTTCATTGTTTTAATACGAGGTCTGTTAGATTAGAAATCGGATTTTGGTGATAACTAGCCCAGTGTGCGTCCAAATTAGGTTTCCTTGGACTTTTTTGATAGCTGATAACATACTGAAGAACGCTAGATTCACAGATTTTGTTTATTTTGATCAGTATTTACTCTGTGTCCTCTATACGAGTAAGTTAGGTGCGTTCTGCGATTTTCATCATAAGATCACTGATAGAGCAAAGATTTAACATTAAATTTTGTTTTAAACTCGATATACCTTGTACTGAAACTTTTGATATGCTCAGTAAAGTTTACCAAGATCATCGTATGAGTTGTTCTCACTGTTTGAGTGGGTTAAACGATTCAAAACTGGTCAGGAGTTCGTCGAGGATGAGAAGCACGGGAATCGACCATCAACGGCAACTGACATTTGTCACGTGTAGGAAGTGCGGGAAAAAGTGCTCGAAAATGGTCCTTTCGAGCTTGCTGAACAGTGTAATATATCTGAAGGCTCCGTACATACAATTTTGATAGAATATGTGGACATGCATCGAGTTTTAGGTACACTTGCCCCTTGATTGTTGTCCGTTGAACAAAAATCCAGCCAAATGTCAATTGCCCTTTAGCTGCTTGAACATTCTAACAATGATCCTACATTTTTGGATAGGATAATTTTCGGTGATAATACTTGAGTGTACCGCTAGAATATGGAGACGAAACTCCAATCATCCTTGTGGGTTGAAAAATGTAGTGCAAGACCGAAAAGAGAGAGACAAGTTCGGTCAAACATAAAAATCGCAAAACACCCATGAGGCTGCCTTACTTCAAGCCACATACCAACGAAGCTAACTAGGATTTTTCAAATTTGTGAACGTAGCGTTCTTAAGTATATTTCCAGTTATCAGGAAAATTCAAAAAAATCTACTTCGGACGCATTGTGGGCTAGTTATCACCAAAATCCGGTTTCTAATCTAACAGACCTCGTATAATACCGTAACTTCTATTATCACATAAAAAGAGGCAAGAACATTAATTAATTGAAAAAAGTGCAAGATAATTTTAATACTTACAATTCCATTACGAGCAAGCTAGTCAAAAGAAGAAAACAATTCAAGATCAATCAACAATGAAAACCCGTTTTGCAAAAATACGAATGAAAATAAAGGTTTAATTTAATAATCTAATTAAGTATTCACCAGTCAGCAGACAAATCATCATTTTTTCCTATAGCATTCGGAAAAGAACCGCCAAAAAACTATCAATGATGAAACTAGAAAAACAAACTTGCCCAAGATTTCAAAATTTCCGCTTTTTAGTAAGTGTTTTTTAGAGGAGAGCTAAATGGTAGTTCAAGAAAAAGGCTTTGAAAAATGTTCTTAGACAGTGACTCATAATCGTGCAAAATTCTCCGATTTGAAAACGTCTAGTTTCCTTGGATTTAAATAAGCAGGGCAAAAAAATTGCAATTGGTATTACGAACGGAGGTACGTTTTTCTCTCCTCTTGCCGTTGATAATCATTCGTTTTCTGGATGATAAAGCAATAATCAGTACCTTATTTTGATTCACAAGTCAGATTCAAAGTAATTGATTCTCACCGCAGGAATATAATCAGGTTTAAATCGGAAATATTTGACTTTCTTCAAACATCACCGTGGACTTTTTTTCCTAGGATATAGTAGTGCATATTCAGAACTAATTCGGAACTAATTCATTTTCTGTTAAAATAATAAAAGTAATAATAATTTGCCACAGTCAATGTTTATTTTTAATTCGTCGATTCCCAGATAAAAGAATGTAAATTCATCACAAAGTTGAAAAATTTCCCTCAAAAATTGTATTTTGACTGAAAAACTATTGCGCTTTTCTTATTAGATATTCCACTGACTGTTCCACTTATTATGAGCAAAAATCAGCATTTTGAAAAGAGATACACGCTATTAGTGTTATACGCCGCAAAATAGTTAAGTATATTCCAATTTATTCTAATTTATAGCATTGCAAGAGGTTAGGTAATTTTATTGCTTGGGTCTAATTCGATATAATGGAGATATCCTGTGCATGATGACGTTATCACTAATACATCGTCTATTGCACAGTCATTGTCTTATATTATATTGAATTTTTTTAGCCAATCTTGCACCTTGGAACAGAGTTACACCCTTTCGTCTGGGAATGACGTAATGGAATTTCTTGAAAAAATTATAAATGAGTGATTTTGAACATTGAATTAAAGAGGATCATTTTCACAAGCAGACGGTAAACTTTTGTCGGGAACGAATAGGAGATCACACAGGATATGACACTTATACGGTTATACGAACCGATACGATCAGAGGGCGCTCGATTAAAAGAAACTAAATTGCGCTGACTGACCCTTTTTGGTTGACGAAAACGAAATTTCAGTTCCATGAACCGAAGCGAAATCTCTATTCACCAAAGTAATGTTCGGTTCTGTGAACCAAAGAGGTCGGCTCACACGACCCAGGGCCCAGTCTTCTGGATCGTAAAAGCCCTGCGTCAGTGACGATTTTGCAAGTTGACAACACTGCCTTTCCTGCATTGAAATCCAATAAAAATATCGATTTAAGGTGTGTCACCCTAACTCGCCGAGACTCGATATATTTAAATGGAGGAAAAACAGTGTTGCAACTTTCAAAAATCGCCACTACCTGCGCCTATACCTACTGAACTTATCGTTTCGTGTCACCGAGATTATTTTTTTTTTTTTTTCACGCAGACACGGGCTGATTAATGAAATTGATAGGTAGGCAAAGTGATAAACAAAGACCAAAAAGAGAGATAGAGGGATCTTATCGTTTGAAACGGGTCATGGAAACGGTGGACTAACACCAGCCTATCACGTGGGTTGTTGTTACTGATTGTGAGTCTATTACTTACAAGGGGAGTCTACGAAGTGACATCCTGGGATTGGGTTCATTTTGCTTGTACATGAAGAAGAGACAAATCTAAGGTTGACGTATTTTTTTTTAGCCGCCACCTCCCAACCGTTTTCGAGATATCGATTTTTAAAGTTACGATTTTTGCACGTTTCCGCGCGGAGTTCCGGCGAGTCAACTGAGCGCCGGCAAGCTGCACGAAGCGCGTTTCCTATCATCGCTGCAGACCGGTCATCATTATCAACAGATCCGTGGCCAAGTGGTAGAGTGTTCGCCTACCGTTTCATCGATCGCGGGTTCGAATCCCGCCTCGTGCCGTAGCTTTTTAGGGTACGCCGCAATGCGTTTTTACACTTTTTCTTTATTTTTATCACGCACCAAGGGGTCCGCCCCCTGGCCGCTGCGCGGCCCAACACCCGGGGCGAAAAGGCGCGCTTCGCGACAAGCGAAATCATCGAAATCGACCGTTGACGGTTACTGGGCAAATAATTTTAATTGAATGATGAAATGATGTTTCAAATAAAAATTTCCCACCACACAATATTCTTAATGACTTTTTCCTTACTCTGAATTTGCAACCGTCAACGGTCGATTTCGATGATTTCGCTCGCCGCGAAGCGCGCCTTTTCGCCCCGGGTGTTGGGCCGCGCAGCGGCCAGGGGGCGGACCCCTTGGTGCGTGATAAAAATAAAGAAAAAGTGTAAGAACGCATTGCGGCGTACCCTAAAAGCTACGGCACGAGGCGGGATTCGAACCCGCGATCGATGAAACGGTAGGCGAACACTCTACCACTTGGCCACGGATCTGTTGATAATGATGACCGGTCTGCAGCGATGATAGGAAACGCGCTTCGTGCAGCTTGCCGGCGCTCAGTTGACTCGCCGGAACTCCGCGCGGAAACGTGCAAAAATCGTAACTTTAAAAATCGATATCTCGGAAACGGTTGGGAGGTGGCGGCTAAAAAAAAATACGTCAACCTTAGATTTGTCTCTTCTTCATGTACAAGCAAAATGAACCCAATCCCAGGATGTCACTTCGTAGACTCCCCTTGTTAGTGCCTTTGTCCATTGGAATTCTCCGCTTCCAGCAATAGGGTCCCTCCATTTTCTTTCTCTGTTTCTACTTTTTCTGGCTTAGTCTATTAATGTCAATAATCAACCAGCTAATGCAATTCTCGTAATCTGATAGCATTCGGTTTCATCCATTTAAATGTATTTAGAACGGCAACAGTATATATTTGGGCGAATTCGTGCTAAAAGGACTTTATGCAAAGGGTTTACATGCAACGTAGCTCCTTTTCGCATATATCGGTAAGTTGCTTGGCTGACAAAAGGACGTAATTGAAATTTGAATTGAACCCGAAAAAGTATTGAGTTATATGGATGAAAGGGTTCATCGCCAAGTGTATTTTCGCCCTTATATCAGGAGGGCGAAAAATAATCCACTGTAAAGACTGATCACTGTTATCTTCCCAGCAATGTAAAGGTTTCTGTCGCAAGTTTACGCTTAAATTTACCTATTGATGACTCCAAATCAAAGAGGTGAGCAGGTTGCTTAGCGATTTACACGAAATTTGCAAAAGAAATACTTGCCTCCGTAAGTGACAATCATCAGTCATCATCAGGCAAATTTTCTTCGACTTTCTGCTCAACAAATTGATCATCAACCATCATTTAGAAAAACATAGCGGAAGGCTATTTTTAACTTTTGCCTCACTCGATTACATTGCTAAGATTGTTAGGGCGGGGTTTCTTAAATACACTGTCTCTAATTTCAAACATTCGCAATTTTCCAATAAGTAAGTCACCTTATTTAAAATTGACTATTTGCAATTGATTGAAATGAAGGGAACAGTGTTCCCAACTTGCCACGTAGAGATCGCAGAATCGCCTCCTGCGGAATGATTCTTGAAATCGACAAACAAAGTTATAACAAAGTAACAAAGGGAAATTGGAGCAAACTTTCGGTAAACGCGGGTGGTAGCAATGGACTTAGGAAGTGAGTAATAGAAAAAAGAACAAAAATCCTCGAGAGACTTCTTCGTTAGCCCATCACCCCCCCCCCTTAGTCTAAAACCCCGTTCCTACCAATGTGATCCCTCTATTTTCCCTCTGTTTTGCCTATAGCTGTGCCTATCAATTTCAGTAATCAGGCCGCGGACAAGCATTATGAATGAACCGTGACACGTGTTTGAATACATGCACTAAAACATCGAGGTATTTTGATACTAATTTATGAAATGACTATTTGTAGGTATAGAAATAATGAATTTTTTCGTGTGCTTTACATATTTACAAACCAAGTAGGGCCCCGTCCCCTACAAAGTGCGCGGTCAAACATCCCTCGGTCGTTAGGGACGCCGGGCCGCGTTTCGCAATTAAAAAACGGAGTAATTTCTGAAAAGTTTCGAGAAAGCGGGCCAAAAAATCACGAGTGACGATTTCGCAGATCCAATTCAATGATAATTTACAGGTATGAGATGAAAACTCAAGGTCCTAAAGATTTTACGCTAATAATGATGGTTTTTCTGGATATCGATTCTTGAGTTTTAAAGAAATCTCAACTCTTCATGTTTATAACGTGATATACATGTTATAATTTTAATTTAAAAGACAGTAAAGTACCTTAGCGCGCAAATTCGTCTCAAACACGGAAAAAAATGGCCATCCTCAATTGGGAAATATTGTGTTCGTAATTTCGCATTTTATTTTGTGACTGAACTAACCACGCCAGTTGTTGAAGTAGCAAGTGTTATTTGCTCAAATAGGTACGAAGGTTAAATCTTCGTGATGTAACACTTTTGCGTTCCTTAATGTTGATTTGGGTTACAATCTATGCTCGATCACCAACTGATACTACAGGCTCTAAAATTAGAGTGCTGATAGAAAATATCACAGTAAGCTTTAATAGCGCACACTCTCCAATTATTTAGTTTATTATTTTCCTTTTTTATGTTAGTTTTTGTCAATCGGAACGAATATAATAAAAATTCGGACCGTCTAAAGGGTTTTTGACTCCGACAATGAAGCTGAGAAGGTTCAAGGTTGAAGGCATTCCTTGGTGTAACACCCGCGCAATTTAGCATTACAGGGTTACTAAACAGCGCGGGCCGCATGGCACAGTACCAACTTTCCGTAATATCAACTGGACTGAGTTAAGCAGAAAGGAACCAACCCACATTTTGGAAAAAATTGAGTTATGAGTGGTTTTGAACTCAACCACTGCTCTACTATCTATCGCCAAAATTTCAAAGTTTTTGTTGGAGAAAATTTTGCAGAAATTGAACTTGAAGTTTATTTTTTACATTGAGTCTTATGCAGGAGCCAAACTTTAAACCTCTTTTTCTCGGTTCGATCCCGATGTGGCTTGGTTCCTTTCTGTTTAACTCCGTCCAACTACTGCTCAGGGATGGAAATTAATCACAGTAAGCTTAAATAGCTCACACTATTCGATTCTTTAGTTCATTATTAAGAAAGCTATTCGATACATTTTACCACCACGGCGTAAGAGGCGCGACTTAAAAAAATGTTCTGCGTTTATTTACATTTAAATCAAGGGTTCGATACTATATCGCGAATGACGTAGCCACTAAATCAGTCTATGCAAGTGCACCAAAAGGAGGTTAGTATCAACAACATCACCTAAAGAGCACGCAAAATCTCTGAACCAAGGAGGATGCTGCAATAACGCAAATGCACGTGCGAAAAAATGTAAGTACTGAGCAAGTCACCTAGTGAGCACTACGGTAGGTAATGTTTTGCCATTGCAAAAATCGCAATATAAAATCGCTGAAACTACAACGATCTTGCAAAATCAGCAGTTTTATTTGGTGATTTTCGCAATATTATGGTAATTTTAGCAATTTTACATTGCAATTTTCGGAATATTTAAGTAATTTGAGCAATTTTAAATTTGAGATCATTATTAAATAGTGGATAAACTAGCAATTTTATATTGCGAAAATCGCATTTTTTTTATTTTGCTTTTGCAGCAAAAATTGTTTTGCTGTTTTACTACCCACATTGCAAGTCTCGTTTTTAGCAATGCGAAATTTCTAATTTACCCACCCTCATGGGTAATGCAGCGATGAATTTTTTCCGTGTGAACCGTAATTTCAGCGGTACGAACACGTCGGTTAGAAAAATCAGAAAACTACGGTCAAAGTGGAACATCGATTTTCGATTCGTAGAACTGAACTTCCGGTTCACCGCACGATAGCTCGGTTCTATTGAGCAAGGTTGCCAATTTGTGCAACTGAAAAGTGCCTCCTGAATTTCAAGATTTGTACAGCAGAGGTTCTTTTTTCTCTTTAAAACAGAGAACTTGACAATTAGACATATCTTTCAATGTTGGGTTCATCCAAGAGAATTCAACCATAAAAAATGAAGTGGTAGTACAGACGACCGGCGTATTACGAAATGCTGGAATTATCCATTATCAGTAAATTATATATTATTATTGCTGATTCCTATCTAATGAAAATTACGTATAGATTTATTGAGCCCTCGTTTCGTGCTACCTTTGGTCTAATATGTTTAAAATCACGAGAATCACCACGTGTCGGACTTGTGTTTTTCATTTGTATGTCAATGGTTAATGTAAGAAACCACGTATTTACTGTAATACTTCCCTTTTTATTTTCTTTTTGCAGGAAATTATTTAACGTAATTTCTCGAAAATTATCTTAATTTTCCTTCTCTTTTGGCAGAATCTGTTGTGTACATTTCAATTTTTTTTTTCTTTTTTTTCCATTTTAAAGTTGGCTTGTTCTTCTTCGAAAGAATAAAGTAGGAGGGGAATGAAACACCGCCTTAGAGAAACGTGCTTTCGCTACTTGGCCATAGGTGATAGGAAAACAATCAATTTTACGTCTTTACGCATTGATTCTTCCATATAAACTAAAATCGAAAAGACATAAAGTGCCGTTAATTCGCAAGAATCACCAGAGCGAGCTGATAATTCAAATTAATAGAAAAAGCGAGGGACAAAGGAAAAATGGAGCAAACCTTTTGGAGGAAGTGGGAGGTTGGAATGAATAAAAAAGGTAAGTGACAGATTAACTAAAGGCAACCGATAAGGGACCCTGTTGTTAGCCCATGTTTTGCTTATTCCCTTTGTCTACAACAACAACCCGTTTCAACCGATAAGGTTTCTTAGCTATCTCTGTAGGTCCTGTCTCTATTACTATCTCTATCAATTTCAACAATTAGCCGGAAGGTCATACTGTTCCGTATTCTATCCTTTTCACTGTGGCCGGGGTGAAAATAAACTCCAACAAGAGTCTTTAAGTATTAATAAATTGTCTCTGTAGGGTAACATTTATTGAGGAACATTATGTTCCGACTCATCGTGAGTTTGTCTAAAATCAACTCCCAACTATGGAAGAAGCATTCGTATTTAAGGCCGTGACAGAGGAGTGTCAAGTGTTCAAGTCCGTGGTAACATACATTAAAAACATTTTAAAAAATAAAAAATGTATGCGATGATAATGCTACGGAAAATATCATGATGATTTTTAAAATACTTGAAAAATATGTTCAATTCACAAGGTATAGTTTAATGAAGAAAACATTAAAACGATTGCCCTTCAGGTTGGGCACTTTAAGTTCCGGATGAATAATGATAATGGCTTCAATTGAAATAGTACTGTAGGAGGACTCGGTCTAGGAGTCTTGGCAATCGGGTAATCGGGTAGGGTGGGTGGGGCGTGGAGGCATGGAGGCAGGGGAGAGCGAGGGTCAGGAAACAGTGGAGGACGGGGACAATGCAGGAGTGCTCAGAATTGAAAAGTGGCGTTGAGGTTAGTGACGTCATAACATGGGTATAAAACGGAGGATGACAACACAAAGACTTGTACTCCGCAGAGAAAGGCAACTTACATATTCGATCGAGGAAGAGGACGGGTAAAAGGGTCCAGCCCTCGGTATCGAGCTACTTCTATAGTGGATGCCCTGCAATAGTGCAATGCCCGTTCAACAAGTTTTTTTTTCAACGCTTTCAACAGGCATTTTAAATTAAATAAAACGCTTAAATTTCAAGCATGAAGGATAAAAAGGGAACTAGTTCATTTTTTACGCAATTAAGGTAATAACACCTCCCAATGGTACTTTTCAAAAAGTATCCAAACAAAAAAATAAAAAAAGACAATTTGGCACAAAAAAAATTTTGGAATAGCGGAGGAGGAATTTATTACCCCTTATTTTGGGAAATGATTAAATAATGCGCTGAAAGAAAAAAAATGAATTCGCAGACAGCACTTACATACGTTATTTAATAACTTGCAATTTGCAAAATAACTGTTCCCCCCCCAAAAAAAAAAAAAAAATCTTATAACTCCACCATTAAAATGTTGACAAAGGTTGCCAACTTGTGCTATTGAATGTGGATACTTTATACGGGTTACAATAGGAGGAAAGTCCTAATATTTCTCATCTGGCAACAATGAAAGATCCTCAATCCAGATAAGAATTATATTGTTAAAAAAAATTGTGGATCAAAAAGGCACAAATCCATTTTTCCCATTTTTCCAAGAATCTACTTAAGTAGAAAAATCAACATGGACTTTAAGAATCCCCACTAAGGATCCTTTGGTTAGTCAATCATTATTTCCCGTAGTCTAAAGACGCGGGTACCAATTTAAACTAATAGAATCGCTTTCTTTTCGCGTCATCCTCTTGACCAATCGCTTTGTCTATCAATTTAAATAATCAGCCCGCAATGCCGTCCGGCCGGATAATCCTCTCACAGAGCATGTAAAAAGAGATGGTAAAATTTTGGTAAAATAAAACGTACTGAAAGGAATGAGTTTCGAAATGAAAAGGGATACAAAACAGGAAAGATTGACTAGCACAAGGTTGCCAGGTTTGGCAATTAACTGTGAATTATTTATGAGTAATGTTAGGATTATGAATATGTATATAATATGTTGTAATTGAATGTGATCATGTACTCACCGATGGCGGCGATAGGTTGACGGTGGAGCCACGTCGTTCTTGGGGCCCGAAGCTGGAGTGACGGCGGATGGGGAGGGGCCCGCCGGGGCTCCCGGGGCCGCCGGGAGAGGAGGCGCAAGAGGGGGCGATCTTGATTTTGGGCGCCATGAGGGTGTTGTCCGAGAGGCGCCGGTTCGTGTAGGCGTTGTGCACGCGCAGGTAGTTGCTGTCCGGCGAGGAGGGCGACGTCCTGTTCCACCAAGAACCTAACATTCCCGAGTCTGAGTCATGAGAACCGTCGTCACGAGAGCCATGCCAAGAAAACACAAAACACACCAAACGACATTTAACATTCGGGCATACCAACACTTACTTCCTACACACGCAGAACTGCCAACATGATGCCGCGCCGCACCGCCGACACAACGGCGGCTTCATTTCTCAAATTGATAGACGCCGCATTTCACATCAAAAAGAAAAAGGGACAATGGTGCGATCCTATCGCTGGAAACTCGTGGTTGCAATGGATAAGGAATGTCTTACCGCAATCACACGCTGAATGTGGGAGCTGAATGTGGCTTGAATGTGGAAGTCATCGGCCCAATGCCTGAATTTTGCGCGTGACGCGGAAAATTCAGCAACGATTCTCAGCAACCATCGGACCAATTTTGAATTTGTCTGAACTATTCGAGTGATTTAATACACATCTGGTTGAAAATAACTCGAATTTGCTAAATTTCAGCCGTTGGGCGATGACTGTTGACTTCCACATTCAACTGCTAAATTCCGCGTCTGATTGCGGCATCACATTCATTAACGGCAACCCATTAGAGATCTATCACCTCCTCCCCTCCATTGCCTTTAATCTCCTATAAAATCTGCCCGTTTCTACCAATAGGATCGCTTCATTTTCCTTTTGACTTCTTCGTCTTTAGTTTTGTCTATCAATTTCAAAAATCAGCCCACCGACTGCCAAAATATCACCGGGATTGATAAAGAAAAAGCTACACAAATAGAGCGATCCTATTGGTTGAACCGGGTGATTGTTTTAGACCCAAGGGAAAATCATGACTCTCTTTCATGGACTAATCGAAGGGTCTCTGGTGGGTTGTCGTTGGTTATTCCATTACTTACTTTCTTGGTCCATTACAACCACCCACCCACATCCTCCAAAAGGATCCAGCTCCAGTTAAAGCTCACAGCTCCAGTTTAATTTAATTTGTCAACCATTTTGTACATCAATTTCAATAAGCAACCCGCAGAGCTGAGCAATCGCTTGCTTTCCAATTAAATCGATTTGAAAAGAAACGCACCGAGTCGCATAAAGCTTCAACCGAGAAAAAGAGCTTATGACTATTATAGGTTCGTAAGACGCAATGTTAAGGAAAGATTTTAACCATTATTTTTAGGTACATTTAGAATATTTTTCTCGACTATGAGTTGTTGAAAATAGAAAATTTGCGGTTCAACCAATATCTCTCCATGAATCAATTATTTCTCCCTAGTGGAAGTGAGCTATCCGCTGCGGATACCTAGCTGTCCGCAGCGGACAGGTAGTCTGTGCAGGTATCCGCAGGCTCGAGTAGCCTTCCGCCGCATGAGGCTGCACAGGGTGGTCAGGCAGTTCCAGGAAATGCTGCAGGAGCCTGCGAAGAGTGGCGGATAGGAGGCATCCGCCACCCCGGGTCACCTCGAGTAGGCTCGTGCAGCTCTCCGCAGCTCTGCGCAGCCTTCCGCCACCATTCGCAGGCTCCTGCCAGCCTGTGCAGCTCACTAATTACACTGTTTCTGCACACAGTGGGCAGTTTGTCATAAGAAGGAGGAATTCAACCCAAAAATCAAGTTCCTTTCTTAGGAGAATAGTATTTTATTAAATAATTAAGTCAGGAGAAGGATATTTTACTAAACAATTAAGTCAACATTGTTAAAAAATTTAATTTTGTATTTGAATAATGCTAATCCAAGGATTTCATCTAAAAACTAGTCTCATTTCTGCTTTAAAAATGCCAACAGCCAAGAAGATTCAATTTTATGCCATAAATATATGTATAGGGCACATGTCAAAATTCTGATGAGCCGTGAGATGAATTTCACCTTATGGATTCCAGGGCTCATCCAAAAATGGACATGTTCCATGCTGATCCAGGCTAGGCTGAAGCAATTTTTTAAATTTTAAAAGTCCTTTGTAATTCTCTGTGTATCATACTTTTGAAAAGTATTTGTTCACTCACAAATCCAAATTTTAATAGAGGGAGCAAGTCAACATGTGTGATGAGCCATAAAAAGCATGTATTCATATTGAGTCCAGGGCTCATCCTAAAATGGACAAGCTGCCTTCACAAAAATATGCAACCGTGAGCTGACAAATACTCTCCAAAAGCAAAATAAACCGAATGACTAAATTGTAAAAGGAACATCATTCCAGCTTTTGAGATTGAAATAAGTCTCCTGAGTAAAAAATTAGAAACTTGATTTTCGGCTAATTCCTCCTTCAAAATGGATCATATGTTTAGAGGAAATTGGATAATAATTCAAATTAAAAGCTCCAACAATCCTGTTTTCAATGAGTAAATAAAGGCTCTCCATTAAAATCAAGTATTTCAGGGCTTACTTGAATTTCTTCACACAGTCACTCACCAGAGTTCTGGGAACATCTTTCGTAAAGTCACTCACTGACCACATTTCAATTGATGGAGCTTTGAAAGAAAATCACGGTCCAAAATTCCCCTCACAAACATTCCTATCTCTTTCAGCATGCCAATTAATATGTATTAGGTAGCTGTACCTTAAAATTGTTCCTTTGGTTCCTTATGGACTCCACATTCATTCATGTGACCGCAGACAGAGGAGGCTCCAGGTTGGCATGATTTGACTTGGTCTCTCGCAAGATTTTCGATCGCCTTGACAAAACTCTCTGATCTATCTGCAGCTCTGTGCCTGAAGAAAAAACTTCAAAGTGAACAAACTTCTTGAAATAAGTAAGTAAATAATCTCTCGTTCTCTCCTTATTTTCATAACACATAACAAATCACTGTACATCATGCCAAACTTATCTTCTCACTCTAAAAGTGCATTAATTTAGTTGAGCTGTTATCAAGTAAAATTGCAGACTTGAAAACCCCCGATATAAACTGAGTCTTTGTATGCAATTACATTGAGGTTACAGGCACAGAAAAGCCAAATGGACTCCTCAAAGCTGAGATGACAGTCAAACAGTAAAAGCTAATCATTTTTCCGGTACTGCAAACTCAATCGCTCTCCTGGAAATCACTGTATCTCAGAGCTGTTTAGAGGTCCTGTCCCATTAAAATGTAAATATGCGGTCATGTTTCCTCGATCAAAGCGAGTATTTTTATTAGATCTGGAAATAGTAAAATTCATACCTCACAATTAATGCTATTATAATTGATAGTTCGCTTACCAACAGGTCTGACAGGGCTCAATTTCATGATACCAATCACAAGATTGATCGGCGTCGAAAAATAAAAACGAACTGAATCTCTATTCCAAAATCACATTGTTAGCACACTTTCCCATCAATTCACCAAGAAATCCTTTCAGTTTTTAGAGAAATTACTTACTCACATAAAAAATGCAACTGTAAACAGTGCGAGACTTGCATTGCGATACGACGATGAGAAGAATTTAAGGTTAGAACTGTTAGCTGCCACATCGTGTGAAAAAAACATATCAAAGTCAACTCGTTCAGCATCTCTTACTATTTGTATTAGCGAACAATTTGTGCGGCTTGGCAACGGTGCGCCGATGACGTATCAGCTGACTGTCCCGAGATATTTTGCCTCCTTGCCAAGTTGAGAAGAAAAAATTGCAAATATCGCTGTAGATGGGGATTGGTAAAAATCGATTATTTTTTAATACTGATTATAATTAAAGATTACGATCACCTTATTTTACTAAAAATGTATTTTTCCTCTTTTTCAATTTTTTTTTTTTTGGCTGAGTATGCTGTAAAAATTTCAAGTTGGCTTTTTTTCTCTTCGTGAAATTGAAATAGGAAGGGAAATTTTGTAACACCGCAGTGAAGATTATTAATTTTGGCCAGCGAATTATTACTTTTGCTTTACCATTGCATTCATCAGTTTTTTCCCCTCCCTCATCTTCTTGAACATGAAACAACATGATCTTATTTTCGGGACCAAACAAGAAAAAATTTTCTATATTTGTCGGTAAAAAAAAATAATAAATAAATAAATGGAGTCTTGTATCGGTCAATAACTATCATCTTAAGCAGCTTAGATTTTAGGCTGTTACCTCCGAAATTGGCTTGAGAGACTCGCATTGGAACCTTTGGATCAATTTCCACGGTCATAACAGTCCGTATTTCCCCAATCCCCAACCGGTCGGGCAATTTACAATGAGAGCTAAGCTGCAGGTGTGTTGAACAATGTTATCCGAGGTCTGTCTCCAGTGTGGGATATTCCAAAATCACGTCATCCTTCGAAGAATGGATACCGCAAAAGTACCTCCGATATTCCCGGCGCACGGGGTTTGTTGGGGGCATTCATCGAAGCGTTTCGTAACGATTTTGAGTCGCTGGATGTTCATCGACGGAAGTCCCCGTGCTGAAAATTAGAGAAAGGGGTGAAGAGGGAAAAAAAACCTACCGTTTCATTCCTTATCTTTGACACATTGACCGATTGTAAACTGGGTCCGTAAAACGACCGCTTCACCTATAAACTCGACTGGCTAAGACAATAGGTTTATCCCTCAATTTCAGTCCTTACCTTCGACGCATAGACCTTTTGTTAAAGTGGGTCAATTATAAAATGACCGCTTAACCTACAACCGCGACCGCTTGGGAAGATAGGTCATTGACCGTTGCCAGAATTTTTATTTTATTAGTTACAAATGTAAAAAAAATTACTTGTTTAGTCCCGAAAATAAGATCATGTTGTTTTATGTTCAAGAAGATGAGGGAGGGGAAAAAACTGATGAATGCAATGGTAAAGCAAAAGTAATAATTCGCTGGCCAAAATTAATAATCTTCACTGCGGTGTTACAAAATTTCCCTTCCTATTTCAATTTCACGAAGAGAAAAAAAGCCAACTTGAAATTTTTACAGCATACTCAGCCAAAAAAAAAAAAAATTGAAAAAGAGGAAAAATACATTTTTAGTAAAATAAGGTGATCGTAATCTTTAATTATAATCAGTATTAAAAAATAATCGATTTTTACCAATCCCCATCTACAGCGATATTTGCAATTTTTTCTTCTCAACTTGGCAAGGAGGCAAAATATCTCGGGACAGTCAGCTGATACGTCATCGGCGCACCGTTGCCAAGCCGCACAAATTGTTCGCTAATACAAATAGTAAGAGATGCTGAACGAGTTGACTTTGATATGTTTTTTTCACACGATGTGGCAGCTAACAGTTCTAACCTTAAATTCTTCTCATCGTCGTATCGCAATGCAAGTCTCGCACTGTTTACAGTTGCATTTTTTATGTGAGTAAGTAATTTCTCTAAAAACTGAAAGGATTTCTTGGTGAATTGATGGGAAAGTGTGCTAACAATGTGATTTTGGAATAGAGATTCAGTTCGTTTTTATTTTTCGACGCCGATCAATCTTGTGATTGGTATCATGAAATTGAGCCCTGTCAGACCTGTTGGTAAGCGAACTATCAATTATAATAGCATTAATTGTGAGGTATGAATTTTACTATTTCCAGATCTAATAAAAATACTCGCTTTGATCGAGGAAACATGACCGCATATTTACATTTTAATGGGACAGGACCTCTAAACAGCTCTGAGATACAGTGATTTCCAGGAGAGCGATTGAGTTTGCAGTACCGGAAAAATGATTAGCTTTTACTGTTTGACTGTCATCTCAGCTTTGAGGAGTCCATTTGGCTTTTCTGTGCCTGTAACCTCAATGTAATTGCATACAAAGACTCAGTTTATATCGGGGGTTTTCAAGTCTGCAATTTTACTTGATAACAGCTCAACTAAATTAATGCACTTTTAGAGTGAGAAGATAAGTTTGGCATGATGTACAGTGATTTGTTATGTGTTATGAAAATAAGGAGAGAACGAGAGATTATTTACTTACTTATTTCAAGAAGTTTGTTCACTTTGAAGTTTTTTCTTCAGGCACAGAGCTGCAGATAGATCAGAGAGTTTTGTCAAGGCGATCGAAAATCTTGCGAGAGACCAAGTCAAATCATGCCAACCTGGAGCCTCCTCTGTCTGCGGTCACATGAATGAATGTGGAGTCCATAAGGAACCAAAGGAACAATTTTAAGGTACAGCTACCTAATACATATTAATTGGCATGCTGAAAGAGATAGGAATGTTTGTGAGGGGAATTTTGGACCGTGATTTTCTTTCAAAGCTCCATCAATTGAAATGTGGTCAGTGAGTGACTTTACGAAAGATGTTCCCAGAACTCTGGTGAGTGACTGTGTGAAGAAATTCAAGTAAGCCCTGAAATACTTGATTTTAATGGAGAGCCTTTATTTACTCATTGAAAACAGGATTGTTGGAGCTTTTAATTTGAATTATTATCCAATTTCCTCTAAACATATGATCCATTTTGAAGGAGGAATTAGCCGAAAATCAAGTTTCTAATTTTTTACTCAGGAGACTTATTTCAATCTCAAAAGCTGGAATGATGTTCCTTTTACAATTTAGTCATTCGGTTTATTTTGCTTTTGGAGAGTATTTGTCAGCTCACGGTTGCATATTTTTGTGAAGGCAGCTTGTCCATTTTAGGATGAGCCCTGGACTCAATATGAATACATGCTTTTTATGGCTCATCACACATGTTGACTTGCTCCCTCTATTAAAATTTGGATTTGTGAGTGAACAAATACTTTTCAAAAGTATGATACACAGAGAATTACAAAGGACTTTTAAAATTTAAAAAATTGCTTCAGCCTAGCCTGGATCAGCATGGAACATGTCCATTTTTGGATGAGCCCTGGAATCCATAAGGTGAAATTCATCTCACGGCTCATCAGAATTTTGACATGTGCCCTATACATATATTTATGGCATAAAATTGAATCTTCTTGGCTGTTGGCATTTTTAAAGCAGAAATGAGACTAGTTTTTAGATGAAATCCTTGGATTAGCATTATTCAAATACAAAATTAAATTTTTTAACAATGTTGACTTAATTGTTTAGTAAAATATCCTTCTCCTGACTTAATTATTTAATAAAATACTATTCTCCTAAGAAAGGAACTTGATTTTTGGGTTGAATTCCTCCTTCTTATGACAAACTGCCCACTGTGTGCAGAAACAGTGTAATTAGTGAGCTGCACAGGCTGGCAGGAGCCTGCGAATGGTGGCGGAAGGCTGCGCAGAGCTGCGGAGAGCTGCACGAGCCTACTCGAGGTGACCCGGGGTGGCGGATGCCTCCTATCCGCCACTCTTCGCAGGCTCCTGCAGCATTTCCTGGAACTGCCTGACCACCCTGTGCAGCCTCATGCGGCGGAAGGCTACTCGAGCCTGCGGATACCTGCACAGACTACCTGTCCGCTGCGGACAGCTAGGTATCCGCAGCGGATAGCTCACTCCTACTAGGGCTTTCTCATCCAGAAAGCGAATAGGTGCGTTTCTGTTACATTTGGTCCAGTTGCGCGCTGAGCTACAATAGTGGCTTAACCACTGACAGAATGAAATATTTTACAAATAAGTACAAAATATTTACATTGTTCTACACAAAAGTTGCTGACAACAAAATTTTACAGAGTATTTTGACAAGATATTTGAGGGCATTTGTTTTAAAAAATATTGAGGGGAAATATTTTAACACTGTGTACCTGCGAGATCATGAAAACATTTGAGTTAAAAGATTTTAAAAACAATCGGAACATTTTTTGATAATATTTCTCGTTGCAGCCTGCGCCCGCAAGCAATTTTTCCGAGTTAATCAATTTTGCTCTGATATATGTAGGAGAACCTAATCGACTCAAACAATAATCCTACGAAGTATTATCAATCATTCTCACATTACAATTTCTTCGTTCAGAAGCATTCTTTTTCATTTTTTTAAAGAAAAAGATAAAGTACAAAATCTTTAAAACAGTTGATATCTTACATAAAAAAATAAGCATCAATTTAAGAGATTGTTCTCTCATGCCGTGAGTGCTGGCTGTATTTCAGATATATTTGACGTGCGAAATAATATTCTCTGGCGTTTTTGCCTGTAAAAAGTTTCCTGAGTTTGCAGTAGACCCATGTAAATTGAACTTTAAATAGTAAAACCGTGTACAATACAAACGTATAGTAAATGAGAGAACGATATCAAACATTTAATTTTGTATGTACATTGGGAAAATGTATAGAGATAAGAAAGCAGATAGTGCAGGCACCTGTAGTCTGGTTTAGAAATTATATTCAAGGAGCGCGGTGACATATAAGAATCAACATCTGATCGAAGACATGAAAATCATGAAATATTAGATGCAAGAACTAACGGTGTCCCCTTGAATTGCATACATCATGAATAATGTGAGATTTTATTTGGAATTAAGTTGTTTTTTTTCTCTCTACGTTTTATTGTCAGCATTCTGAAGACAGCTTGAAATATTCGGTGGTTCGTTTGACCGGAAAAATGGCCTGGTATTTGAATAATTATTATTTCAGTCTTCACTTCTCATTTTTGTACTTTTTTTACAAGGTTTCTTCTCTTCTCATTGCGTGCAAGCAAAACTGACAATCTTTTCCCCAACATGTTGAAAAGAGAAAAATTCAATGAGGAGAGTTTACTGTAGGCCAACAGGCAAACGTGCTTGAAGAAATGGATAAAAAATCCATGCTTATTTCAATCTTCCTAAAGCGTTCATTTTGTACAGCATTTGAATACTGCATGTAAGAATGACAAAAATTAACAACCACAATTGCACACAAACATCGAAAGAAAAGGTATTCCATCTGGAAACATGTTTAAAGGTTTGAACGAACCATTTCTACAAATTGTCCCTGTGAAGAATTGACATACATCAACGGCGAAATTTTCAAACCATGTATTTTGATTGCGGCGACTCAAATCGCTTCTGTTACTACATTTTCAAGTAGAGAAAGAATCATCATCAAACTTTGAAAATTACACAGAATAAGCTTTACGGGCAGAGGAAAGGTGAAATGAGTTTTCTAGAATCGATGTGATTGTTTTCTACCACAGAGATTAGGCAGGTAACTATAAGATAAGAATAAGTATGCAGCGCTACAAATTGAGATAAACGGTTTAAAAATTTCACCGTTACTATGTTTCTCTCTTTTAGGCTTACCATTTTCGTCGCACAATCACTTGTTTTGGCTTTGATCGGAGCTTAGCTACATTTTGCAAGGAGAAACTACAAATTCTGACTCATCTGTCAAAACCACCCATCTGCATGGGAAAACTGATGGTTCAAATATTGTTTCCAAAATGAGCCAGAAATATAGTCGTTTCTCTTAACAAGCTCACATTATTTATCGATTGCAATTTTTGTTCTTCCATTTACCCACGTATAAGATTTTTTTTAAAAAGCTTGACATGGAATAAAACTGAAATTGTAACACAAAAATGTTTCTTCTGGGAACCAATGTAAATGTCTGCAAAAGACTCTAATGCGAATATTGCCTTGTGTCATGATCGTGTGGTTTCTTTCTCTTTTCACATACGTGAATTTATTTATTTACTAGCACGAAACCCCACCATCAGCAATCACTGTGATTAGTGATTAGTTACTAATTGTGTTTCTGAATTATTATCTACTATTTCAAAATTGGCGAGACGCAATGGTTCGATAAAAATGCAGAGATTAGTAGTGTGCTGCTATTTTGGTCTATTCTGCAGTAAGCTCATATGATAATTATAATAATCAAAAATACCCAATCAAAAGTTGGTTATTATAATAAAGATTTGTCACTTTTGTCAGTTCAATGTTTAATTGAAGTTAGCTGGTGAGTTTCAGCCGCGAAAATTACGGGATTTAACCAGCGGTTTCGTTTAATTCTCAGCAATGGTGGGTTTGTCATCTACATCGCGGAGAAAACGTGATTTTTCGAGAAACGGGATTTTGTATAACAAATTAGTAATTACACGATAATCACCACGATATCACGGCAAATACGTCGTGTCCCTAGCAAATTTCTAAGATTATTATAATTGCACGTTATTCACATCAATATCGTGGCATACACGCGAATTTCTGACTCAATTAAGACTACGCAATGTGCGCATAAAACACATGAACATCTGTTACTTGGGATGGGCGAAAACGTAGGATTTTCCTTCAATTTTGTATGATACCACATACCCACTCCGGAGTTCAAATAGTTGCTCGCTTCATTTCTGCTTGTTAAAAGTGACGAATTGGAAGAATCCAATCTCAATTTCACGAGAACTACGGGATGTAACCATCGATTTCCTTATACAAGATTTAATGTTTTGAAATAAAAAAAAAAAAAAAAAAAAAAAAAAAAAAAACATTAGCGATGATCTAAAATTTTGCAAGTATGACTCATGTGCTCCGGTAAACTATGATAGAAACAGAAAGCAGGTAAAGAATGTCGAAGCGATGTTCTAGTTTTGCTTTGCTGTCAGCACCGCGTCTGCAGGCGCAGTGTGACCGAGCCGTCATCACAGTATAGAACGCCTTCACTCTAGCAAGCGGCAATATGGACATCCCCCGTGGTGAAATAGTTGTATCAAGAGCGCCTTCCACGATCGGAGTCAAATATTGATGAAATGCGCGCGAAAACCCCGTTTCTCCTCCGATTGAAACGTTGCACACGGTCTTTACGTTCCATTTTGTTTTATTTATTTTATTCTTAAAGCCAAACAACAGCTTCTCTTAAAATTTTCCGAGAATATGCCTAGATCATTTCAAAACAGAAGATAAAAAAAAAGTAACAAAAAGTAACCCCAGGCGACGTGAAGACTAAATCATAACAATTCATTCACTTTCGGACTTGAGCAGTTAAACTTTTGCAAAATAAAAAAGAGAAAAAAAAACCAGAAAACGAAAGGTTCCGCGAAGCACACTTTCCACTAATCTTTTGCAAAAAAAAACGAAAGAAAACAAAAGGATCCGCGGAACAAATATCTCATACTTCCGCAGAGGAGACCATTGCCATAGAATAAAGAGTCTATGCTAATGCACAGACAGATTTTCCAGATTTTTACATCCCTGAGAGAGTAGCCCGGCAACGGATGCACGAGTTGGAGCTCGCTAAAATCTTGGCGCGGCGTTTCCAACAGCGCGACGCCGAACTCCTTCCATCTTCCTCGCACCCGTTGCGCGTACCAGAAGGACACACATGAAAATCAGCCGTCTTCCAGCGCGAGCCGCGGAAATTGCTCCATCTCGCTCGCACTCTCTCTCGCACCCGTTGTCCTTGCGGGAAAATCGACACACGGGGACCGTGATATCCCGCGAACCGGCGGGCGGATCGCGAAATCCTCCCTTATCCGGCGCCTCGGGGTAGAGAGGGATCCCAGTGCGGAATCTCAGGGTTATACGGCCTCCCGTTAACGAGATCCGCTGATACGTGAGTCAGTCAGTGAGTGAGTGAGTCAATCAACGTGAAGTCTGCTTTATTAGTATATGTAGATTTAATTAACTGAACATAGCCGATGTTGTGTGACCTTCCACGACTACGGCATCTTAGTGCCCACAGATGCTATTGCTGCTTGTGATACGTCATGGAAATCGATACATGTCAACTGATTCTCATCGTAGGCATTGAAAGAGGTTATATTGTTAGTGTTTGAATCCAATGGTCCCTACGTTCTGCAATGACGTCACCACTAATACATGGCATCTATTTGTTGATTCTAAGGCGAGGAACGAAACTGAATTTCAACGCTGCAAAATCTGCACTCGTAGATTGTACATATATATGTGCCGTATTTTAGGCATTTTTTATGCAAAAATGTATCTGATTTCCTAAAAAATTATAATTAAAAATCACCTAAATTTTGAAGAAAAATAATTTCAGTGAAACTCTTGTTAAAATATTGTATTGTTTAAGTCTATTTTGCAAGCTTTGAAATAAATTACGAGCCCTCGTATGCGTGTTGGTTATTGAAATTGAAAGACGGAAATATATACAAAGAAGGGGGAAATAGAGCGATCTTATTGGTTTGAACGAGTGGTTGTTGTAGACTAAGGGGGAAATGATGGCGTATATTGTAAAGAGTCTCTCGGGGGTTGCTGCTAATTATTATTCTTTTCACCTCTGTTGTCCGCTGTAACCACCCATTTCAACCAAAAGGAGCGCTCCATTTCTCCCTTTTCTATCGTTTCTTGTAAATCAATATCAAACATCAGCCCGCTGGAAAGTTTGATAATGTGGAGGAACTTACCGCCTGAGTTCTTCCTGGCCATATCCTCAGCGGAAGATGTTTTCCTTTGCTCTACCCTCACGTTGGGTATACTGAAGGGTGCCACGTTCATATTGTCGGAACTACATAAGTGCCTCAGCGGACGATGTCTATCTGGACTTGATTGTAACGGCATCGTGTCTAATTTTAGTTTATTGCGTTGGTTCCTGAAATCATCGCGTAGCATTCCTTGATTTATTATTTGGACTATTTAATCGAGAAGTCTATCTGCATAGGATTCAATATTGCGAAAAAACTTTGATATTTCTGGGTCATTTATAAGACTCCTTATCTGCGTATGGAGGAACAGACATACGTACATTACATAGGTTCTCAAGATTGACAGACAGATCAACCCAAAAAAAATTGTTGAGTAAAAATCTGACTTGGTATATTTTATCCGAAACCGCTCAATTTCAGGAAAGTTCATCTCGTTATGCGCAAGGAAGATATGGGTGATGTGGATTGGGTGATGTGGGATGTGTGTGCGTATATTTTAAATGTTTCTGAATGGTATACCAAATTAGTCTTTAGATTGAAATACGACCATCATAATATTGATTAAAACACCACGGTAAAAAGTTAAACCACATAATATTGATTGAAACAACACGGTAAAAAGTTAAACCATTGATAAAATGAAAATAAAATAAGAAAAAACTTGAACTACCTTTACACTGAGAAAAAAAGTCTTCGGTCATAAAAACCGTAAGTAGGATGTCGCATATTAGTCGCACATTCCGGTTCATGTAACCAAACTTGCGGTCATTCAAGGAATCAAGTTTTTTCTTTAGCTCGGTTTGTATTCAAAGCTTGAGATCATGAAATGAGATTACGCTTCCTCTAACCAAGAATGCGATTTCATGAACTGATTTAATAGAGTCCACACAGGGTGTCATCGAAATGTCACGTAACTGAGGGTCAGGCAACAAAAATTACTGAACTCAACCTTTGACTTAGGTAATTAAGTTCTTAGTTCATATTGTTACGGGGATTTTCAAATCCCCGCTCACAAGACAAACAATACCTACTCTACTTGAATCAAATCGCGCACTACAGCGGCTTTGGTTGGCTCCTCAATCGAGCTATGTTCCTTTCCCACCTTGTATTGTTCAAAGTGTTAACAACGTGCAATAGCCAAGCTGAAGCACCGAAAATGAGGTGCTATAATTTCGTACCGTAGAGACTGTTTACGGTAGCCTTTAGGGCACGATTTACTTCACGAAGACTTCTGCTTTTTCATGAGTGGCAGTTTTGAATTCACGCATTCAAAACCGTTCTACATCTATGTCCGATGTTCATTACAGTAATTATCGTTGCAAGAATCGTTTTCTCCGTAAATTTATAATCAACACACATGTTTCGGGATCCTTCAATTTGCACCTTGTCTGGTGCTTCAATGCTCAGAAAATGGTGTAAGGTGGAGAGAACAAAATACCAACTTCATACGTTTGAAGGAAAAACAAATATTTGGGCAAGATGGGACTTTCAGCAAGGACAGGACTTAGGCTGAATCGAAACGGAGAATACTCGAAATCATTTACCTGTCTATGAGATCAAACATTTCGAGACAGATATTGCTCAGGCCGGTAAATTGATCTAAATTAAGAGCCGGATTGACTAGCTGCGGCGTTAACAGGGGCATTACCCTAGTTGCCATCAGGTTAACGGACAGCCCGTATTTTTTATCGGATAACATCATCTGATATATATCTGTAACATTAGAAAAAATTAAATCTTGAAAAATTCAAATACGTAAAAATGTAGGCAGTTGGGAGTTTCAAAAATACAAGAAGAGTCTCATCATTATTATCATTGATATAAACTTCGAAGGATTCTACCTTTTAAACATTTCCACCTTTTTCTATACCACTCGAGAGGTTGCCAGATTGTGCAATAAATATTAATATTTCACGTGCACTGAAAAAAAACTGCTAAATTCAACACATGAAATAGTGAAAAAAGGTGACAACTCATCAAAATAGATTAAGAATACCGGGTTGATTTAACTAATTTGGTGATTTGTCACCGTATTTTAGCAATTTTTTTTTCAGTGTGGGATTTGAATTGGAAAAAGTGCTGAAAAAGCAACTTATCTGGCAACAGTAGAGACCAAGAGGGACAAAAGGCTGCCTTCCTGAGAAAACCCATGATTTAGCCGGAAATTTCATTAAAACAAATTGGTTCCGTTTGAAGCATCAAGTGTATAAGTACTGGGGGAAAGATATTTTAAAATAATTATTGTAAATGGACATAGAGCTGCTACAAAAAAGGACAAAATGAAAGGGAAAGGAAATGAAATAAGGATATAGTTACCTACACAATCAGATAGAATAAAACAAAAACATCCGAGAAATTTATATGCGATGTAACCATTCGAAAAAACACAAGTGGGCTCATAGCGATTTGGAACTCGAACACTAAAGTATCTAAACTCCTTGAATATACGGATTCGCAAATTATTATGAACTTGCCTTTTGCAAAATTTTATGAAATTTCTTTCTATAAAATATCACGGGAGTTCATGCATCTGCCGTATAGCGCAATCTTTTGTTTTTTATGAGAGTCAACCTCTTTTTACGCTTCAGCAGAGTGTTGCAACAGACCCATTCTCAAACGTCACAATGAGCATGTTTACGCCCTCAATCACACAACAAACTAATCATTTATGTATGAAACACGAGTTGTAAAAGTCGAGGAAAAAACTTGATTGGGTTCCTCTTAGGAGGAGATGAGGAAGACGTCCAAAGTATAGGCGGTGACAGGGGGTTTTAAACAAGAAGAGATAGTGCCAGTTCCCTGAAGGACATTTGGAGGACAAAGCACTGTGGCGAATAGGCGTCGCAAAGTGACAGAGATCACCGTGAAAGCGGCTCGTTCGTATAAATGTAAAAAAGTGGAGGAAAACGTGACTTACTGACAACAGCCATTATAACTTCGGCGTCCTGAAGCCGGACGTCCCAGAGCAAAGGTAGGACCTCGTCGATGATCTGCGTCCGATCCAACCGATCAAGAATTTTTTGTATACACACTAAAATATTTATGTCTATTTTAATATCACCAGCGTTTTTTTCGTAAACTAGTTTGAGTTTTGGCAGTACCATTCGCCGAATGGCCGTTTCTTCCAAGTAATTTGAAACGTTCGCCACAGCGACAAGTGCAGCAGTCTAGAAACGCGAGAAGGTAAAAGTAATTAAAAAACAATAATAAGCAATTGAGTGACAAGAATGACAAATGAATCTTGGAGAATGTGTTGAATTATAAAAACTAATAAACAAAAAAAAGAACAAGAAAACATTAAAAACAGAAAATTAAGAGGAATAAACCGTTCATGAAATATTATCATAAAGTTGCATAATATATTGTATATTATCATAATATCAATGTTTCATAAAAGGGAAAATAATATATCTTGCGTAAGAAAGTGTATCCTGTAGGTAAATTTAGGTAGGTAAATGAAATGTGAGAGGAAAACCATATTAGAATGTAGATGAAAAGATGAGAACTCTTTGCAAAGAGGTAGATGTTATAAAAAATAGAGGGACCTAGGAAGAGGATACAAAACATTTACCTAAAATGATAGATTCAAAGAACAACGGATCGATTTAATACAAAGAGGAAAATAAGTCGGAAAATAAACAAACCTCCCTATGCAGTTGGCTCGTTTCTTTGAATTAATTTCTAAGAGAGAAAACCTGTAAAAAAGAGCCAACTGTGAATTCGGTTCCTCTTTCTAGACAAATTCAGTTCTTTTAGCATAAAAAAAGAACACAAAGTCACCTCTTGTCAGCTCTTTGTTAGATGCACATTGCACCTGATTGTATCTGCCCTTTCCAGGCGCTCAATCTAGCATCATACTGGAGTGTCAGAGAATCTCAACATCGCACTATAAAAAGGAAAATTTTAGTAGGTCCCGAAGAAGAAATCCAAGAGAATAACTTCAGAAAGCGATAGCAAAAGATAATTTTAAGTTGCTTCTCTTAAGGAAAACGATTTTTGTCAATTTTGAAAGTTTTAAGACAGGTTCGTACCTACTTAGAGGTTTTTCATAAACCGTGGCATTTTTTTTTCAATTTTTAATTTTTTACAATGACAACTTCTGGTCATCCCTTATCAGGATCTACTTCCTAAATATTCCCGTCGAATTTTACTCGAGTTTAAATAAAAGTGTCCTCCTCGTAATGTGATGTCAAGAATCTTCTGAAACGTCCCTCAATCACAATGTGAACAACATGAGACTTCCTATAGAAATAAGCTGCTCAAGGAAACGATTGTAGAAAGGACCCTGAATCGTTAGACATTTCCACTCTCCTAAAGCGATACATGGCGACCGCGGACGCGGCACGAGGTTCGAGAGTGGATGGTAATTTATGGAAATAGTTTTTCCTCACCTGAACTTGAATGGTGGAGCTCTCGAAAGCACTGTACAACATGGGAAGGACCTCCGTTCGTATATCATCGCGAGGCGTCTTCTCCAAAATGATATGTAAATTTTCTAACAACGTTACAGAAGCCTGGATTGTCTTTGGAATAGTGAACACATTCCTGCAAAAGGAAACATCGACAGTCAAAGGTTAAATCAATCGCCACAGGAAATAAATCCGGAATTCTTCGACCTGGAATTGCTTCCAAGGAAGATATATATGATATGTTTGGTCGAAACAATCTTCTTTGTTTCTGCCTAACATCTCACGCTGAGGAAAAAGGTCAGAAGAACCGAACTTTCGGGTGGTATGCATGAGCTGATTAACGATTTTTTTTGCGGGAAGGGGGGCTAGAGGGCAGCTCATTTAGTGGGTTTTAAGGGGAGCACAGAAAGGCACCTCCCCCAAAGAGGGGCTCGGAGGGACTTCTTCGGTTCCAAAAGAGAATCCAGGTGCAATTGACCATTAGACAAGACACGAATTTGAGCATTCTGTTACCTGATTCCTAACCAAAATGTCACGCAAAAGACGGTTCGGACAACAAAAATGACAGGAAATCACTCTTAACTCAGGTATTAATGTTTTTTTTCTTTTCAATGGTAATGGAAACTTTGAATTCCCCGCTCCTACGAAAAACAACAGTTTACTTGAATCAAGTCGCCCACGACAACAGTTTTAGCAGGCTACTTAATCGAGTAATGTTCCTCCCCCGCCTTTTGTTGTCCACAGTGTTAACAATGTGCAACAGCCAAGCCGAAGCACCCATTGTGGGGTTGCCACCCGCCCGGCAAGGATGGTTGCGGGTTCGTTGCCGCAACGTTTTTTTACAATGTTTCTGAAAACGTTTAGTGGCAACGTTTTTAAAATTGTTGTCAAAACGTTGTGAAGAAGTTTCAAGTCGACATCTTTTAAAAACGTTTTTGCAACGTTTATAATAACGGTGTAAAAACGCTTTTAAAAAACGTTGGTTAAAACGTTGTTAAACAATGTTGTTTCGATGTGTTAGGCAAACGTTTTAAAAGCGTTTTATTGCTATGTTGTCAAATCGTTTCCATTTACATTGGTGCAATGTTTGATAAAAAATGTCATAGTTTGGCAAAGAGCGCGTCATGTGCTGCACATCGGAGGGGACACTTTTGCACTGAAATTTCAGGTGTTCTCCCCTCTGTTGTTTCTCAACAGATGATTTTCTCCGATCAATGTGAGGGAAATGTACCCTCATTCAATGTCGCAAAAATATTCAAGGGAAGACGGTTAGAGGAATATTAAATAATCAAGTGCACGGTAACTCAAAGTTTCACATCTTCAATTTTCAATAGCATGTCATCCAATCTCTCTTTTTGGCAAAAAAATGAGATGAATATATACATACCCCTCTCATATAAGCCCCTCTCCCCCCCCCCAACAAAAAAAGGGGGGGAGCTATTAATAGATGTAAGACATAATATGAATAAACTATAAATTATTATATCATCATCAGTAAAAAAGTATAAAAGAAAAGAAAAACAAATTTATGGATGGATGCCAAAAATAGAGCAACCTAATCGTATAGAAATTGAGGGCCGTTATCGTAAAATACGTAACGCTAAATTTCGGATTTTTCGACCCCCCCCTTCCACCCCACATAACGCTGTTATGACAGATCCTTATCATTTACAACCAAGTGAGATAATGCTCTCTTTGCACCCCTCCCTCCACTATAGAGCGCTCTGTCTGTACATTATTCTATGAGCGGGCCTGCAGAACCCTAGTAGCAGACGAAGTTAACGGTTAATAAAATAATTAATTAACGGTCAATTAAAGTTATCGGATAATTATTCTATATTTAACCGTTATATAATGAAGCACGATATGTATCCCATATATAATTGGTATATAAAGAATATATAATGGGTATATACTGATTAAACATGGTTTCCTATTACTTGCAGTAAACTCAGTTATATAAGCATTAAATAAGTGGTATATAAAATATTTAATAACTGTTATATAACAATTAAAATTGGGAATCAGAATATTACTTATATAACGGATAAATTACTCATTATATAATGATTAAAACAGGAATATCAAATTTTTTTTGTATATCCATTATATAATCGTTAGATGCATTTTATTCATCCGATATTAATATTTTAATCACTTATTTAAAAAAATGATTATAATAATCCTTATATAACGGATAAATAATACATACATAACCGTAAAAAAAGGAATTTTAAAGTTGTCTAAGAATCCGTTATATATACATTATACAATCGGTAATTACATATTATTCATCCTTTATTTATATTATAATCAATTATTTAAAATAATGATTATAATAATACTTATAAATCGGATAAATAATACATATATAAAATTAGAACAGGAATTTCAAAGTTAAAGTTAAATAAACATTATATACTCGGTTAATACATATTATTCATCCGATATTAATATTTTAATCAATGATTTTAAAAAAGGATTATAATAATACTTATAAATCGGTTAAATAATACATATGTAAGGATCAAAACAGAAATTTGAAATTTTCCGAGAATCCGTAATCAGTAAATTGGTATGTAGGTGATATTTTCATATATTTATGAGTGAACTTTCAAAATTTGAACCCATAAAAAAATCGTGAGAAACTCTTTTAAGACTTGAAAAATTTACTAGAGCGCTCGGGAAGAAAAACAAACAAAACATGGAGGTTGACTCATAGCTAACTTGAAGAATCCTTACAGCCAGCTGTAAAATTCATATGCGATCTTTAATCTTCCTTTCGCAAGATACTAATCTAGGAAATTCATAGAATAAATAACTCACCCACTTCAGTTCCTCCCCAGGTTAGATGATGGAATAGCTTATCTTCAGCACAAAACTCAGCATTCTTCAGAAAAAGTATATTCCAATGAGACATGTTCTTGCATCACAGTCATCACCGTTTTATAAGATATATTGCACCACCACTTCTTATTAGCAACGTTTAAACCAATATTAAATAGCTCATTTTAAGAAAAAAGTGAATTTACAAAAATATCACAATCACAGCACTTGGGAAAAAAATTAAACACGTAGAAGGCTACTCAGTGGGGTCCACATACGGCGCGTGAATCGCACTAATGTGAGATTTAATCACAACTATGATTCCGTAAATTCAGTAGATTATTGATGTTGAAAAATCGCCGTTAACCTCCTGTCCAAGGCTCTTTCAAATAATTTAAAAATTGCCACGATGACAGGAGATAGACGGAGTGTGAGTCGAACTCAGTACACTACGGGTTAGCTTCCACTATGTCTAGATGATGAGACCAGTCACCGCAGATATTTATGCTCACAGCCTGGAAAAAATAAGATGAAAGGAAACGAGGCATAAAAATCATTGATAATCTCTGGGAGGAACATTAACATTTAATTACAGTGCTTAAGTTGCATTTATTATCACTTACTTACGTTGCTAAATAGAAGGCATGAGAATTGAATCGTTTAACATTTGAATAATAAAAAGGAGGGGCAAAAATGAACTTAGGCTTATTATCAGCCCTTGATGACTGCCATGTATACATGGTTCTGAGTATCACAAAATTTTGACTGTTACGCATAGATTGACTTCTTCAAGTTCTGAACGAAGACATGAGTCCTGGTCAGATAAGGAATGAAATGAAATAAATTTAAACAGGCAATTAAGGATAGTGGCCAAATGTTTCCTTTTACTGAGCTGTAATTTAAGTCACAAAACCTAGTTCCGAAGGAGTATTCGGGAGAAGTGCATAATGAGCGTAAAGTTGGTAAAAATAGGTAAAGTATAATGGAAAGAATCGTGGTTGAGGAGTGCGAGTAGTCGAATTTTGAACAGAGTTCTATCTTCAGTGCTTAAGCACATTATTTTCTACAATCTTGTTCAGGTAAGTTGTACGCTACTTAAAGAAGGAGTACATACGAACTTGATCCAACCCAATG